TTTTAAGCTTTCCTTTTATCTGCTGGTTACACATGTATTCTAGAATGACAAAAGCTGTCATACTCAATTGTTAGGAAGTTAAATTATTAGAGCATCAACATAATTAGATAAATGCATATTTAGGATATATGGATTGAAATAAACAGTTACTTAAGGACTTCAGGGATTTTATTGCAAGGCTGTTAAAAAAGTGGTTTCCGTCCTTGAAAGAGCTACCATTCTTAAAATGTGGTGCTCATAACTTCAAAGTTTGTTTGATACCTTTAAAGGAATTGTGATTTAAAAAGAAAAATAAATAAGGAGAGAAGCTGCTTTTCAGGCTGCTTTTCTTGCCATTTGAAATGTGTATCTTTTTTTTTCCTTTCTTTTCCCATCCCTTACCCTTTTAGCTGGATATTAGTTAGATTTACTGATCTAAAGGATGCTACTGTCAGTGGAGAGACTACGTCGTGGTATATTATTAGTGTCAATGAGAAGTGTTCCTAAAAATATATTGGACATAATTTTCATGCCATGTGTGTTACCATAAAATCTGAATGCCTACTAGGAGCACATCAGGAAATTCGAATTACATTTGGGTTATTGTTGAGCTACCTTCTCCTCAATAGATAGGTCTCTGTGTTGATGTATTCTGCTTTGGCATTAAAGCTATATGCCTATAAGACTGTTAAATAAACCAGACTAAATCAGTATGCCTTTCACATAAGTGAAAGGTGGATTGTGCTGGCCTTGAATTCAGGAGAAGGGGGCCTCAAAGTAATTTGGAATGTGGTTCTAAGAAGAATCTGGATTCTGCATAATGAACTTTATCTTCATTTTAGAAAGCTGACAGTATGTGAAGCTGTTGATCTTTTTTTCATCTCAAGCTGTAACTGATTGCCAGATAACAAGAGTCCATTCAGAGTAATATGAGAATGGAAGATAATCTAGTCTTGGAGCTTCATTCCATTTTTAGTGGGAAAAAAAAGTTCTGATCTGTCAAGCCTTTGTGTTTGGGCCTGCAATGCTGCTCTGTAGTCTAGCAGTGTTTGAGATAGAGGTTGTGGTACCTGTATATCCCAAAACATCCAGTTTTAGGAGGTGAAGATTTGCAAATTTCTGCTGAATGTTTTCTCCTAAAATGTAAATTTTACTGATGTATGAGCAAGTATTTGATTCAATAACTGGTTCTTTTGCAAGTATTTGTATATTTGGAGATGTGCGGCTTTGGGTCACAGTTATAGTTGCACCTTATTATTTTCTGGTCATTGGTTCTGAAAAATTTAAGCTACCATGGATAATCCTCTGATTCTTTACATCTCTGTTTTGCTAAGGTAGAATCTGGTATAATTGATTATACCGAATACCATGAAAAAGCTTATCAGTTGCTTCTCTGAATTTATAACTTTGACTTTTGACATAAGCCATTGTTTAACAAACCCTCAGAGGAGTTTGAAGTTCTTTTCAAAAGAGTTGTTGCATAAAGTGTCCTTTTCAAGTCAAGGAATCTGTATATTTTACACTGTTTTTTAAAGGAGAAGTTGTATATGGTTCTGAAAGATAAACAAATATGGAAGATTCTGCTCCCAGAAAACATAACAGCTAGGTAGTGTTGGTAAAGTTGTTTTTAAAAAAAATCACTAGAAGCAGCATTCCAAAATCTCTAGCAGCTACAAGAAATAAGGAAAAGTAGTTTTTTAGGGTTCTTTTGTGAGTTTTGGATAATCTTCCAGGTGTTCTCCTTGGAACATAGTAGAAGTTTGAATGGCAGTGGGTGGTAGCAATACCAGTCTTCTATCTAGTGCCATTGTAAATACACTGTAAGTACTCGTGTAATGTGATTGTGTGTCCTTTGGGTTAGTGGGTTGGCTTTCAGGAGTAGGAATTAAGTTAGTTCAAGTCAGAAGTCTGGGTATATTTTCAAAACTGTAAGTTACAGAGATCATGTAGGCAGCAAGGTGTTCTGTGAGCAGAAAAATTTATAAAGTCTGGTATTTAAAAAAAAATGGTTTTTGTCCCTTACATGAAGTATCTTAGTGCTTGCTGTATTTTTAAAAATAGGTAGCTTAGGCTGAGAACTGAAAGATTGTACAGAACTGTGTGTTCTTGAAAAAACAGCTGTATGTCTGTGAGTTAATGGTGTATTTTAAATTGCATCATGTATGAGGAAGGAAATTTAGTAGATGTTCCTAGGATTTACTCTATGTTGAAAGAAGGTTTGAATTCAGCTTTTCTGTCTTGTCCTTCAGATCACAAGGATGGTAGTGTGTGTTGCTTTTTGGTTCTGGATATTTAACAACAATAACAAAAAAAGAAACCAAAAATCCCAAACATAATAACAAAAACCACTCCAGCAGACATAATGAAGAGAATACAGTGCACTTATTAGCGTGTGTAGGCTCTAAAATCTGAGCAGAAAAAAAGGGAAGGGGATTGTATTTTGTGTGTGCTGTGGACTACTCATCCACCTGCTAAATTATTCTTACTGCTAAGGTAACCCAGGGGTGCTGATCTATTTAGTGCTTTAGTATTTAGATACAGTTCATGTGACCTGTAGTAGCAATTTTACCCAACAGCACTTTGAATGAGCCTTAGCTATCCACAGTGATTATTGCTTTCCCATGTTGGATAAACAATATAGGGTATGGTAGTATCTGTTTCTGTAATATATACACAGTTTGTACTTGCTAGAATTACGTAAGTGATTTAAGTAAGCTCTGAACTTTTGTAAGCAGTGACTATCAAGTAGGCTAGTAAATAAAAATATTTCTAGTCCTGCTTCCTTAAATGCGTTACTTTTGGTAAACTAATATTAATCATTTCAGAATGGTGTGTGCTTATGCACTTTCACTATTATGAAGCAAAACTGTCATTTAAACTTACCTGACAAATCTAGTGTGACTAGTATATTGTGCTTTGTCAGAGCAGTACTTTCCTATTAAGGTATAGATTATATGCATACTAAGAATGTTACGCTGTACACATCCACATGCCTTTTTATTTAAAAAACAAAACAAAACAAAAAAAACCTTCATTGTACTGTGTCTGAAATAAAGAGGTTTTGTGTGTATGAGAAGCGTGGAGTTGGCTTTCCAAATCTTGGAAGCGGTACACAAGCAAATTTTAAGAAGCAACAGTTTAAAGAAGATTCCTGGTTGTTCTGCACTGGACATGCTCATAGTAAAACAGTCTTTACCCTAGAGAGCTTCAAATCTTAAACATGTAGAAGTTGGAGGAATTTTTACTAGGCAAGTTCTGAAGTGGCACTGCAACTGCTGATAAGTGCACTGCAGTTTCAGACTGCAGGGAGTTTTCCGGCATTGCTGGGAAAGAGACCTCCAGCTCAATATGTGGCTGCATTTGGGTTAACTCCCCCACCTCCAGAAACGAAGTGTCGTATCCTCAACCAACCACCTGTGGTTTAGTTTTTTCAAAAGAAGGCTCTGCCAGCAACACGTTTCCCAAATGTCTCCTTCACGATGGTTTTTCTCTTGATACGGTTTTCTTCCATCGGGGAGGTCTGGTTATCTGCCGTAAAGGAGCTCTGACACCACACACCATCATCTGCCTTCCCGTGGGAACAAGGGCAACTTGCATTAGCAACGTAGCAGAGCCAGTGCTTTCCCTGCCAGGAGGACTTGT